AACACGTCGCTGTAGGCGTCGAGAAGTTCGGTGATGCGTGGATCCGAAGGTGAGTCCGTCGATGAAGCGTCATGGGGCAGGAGGGCGTGGAGAAAACACACCCCCATCTCCTCRATGTCGTCTCTGATGATGGAAGCTCGCATGCTTGCGGCGGATACCACGTGGCAGCTGATCGAAGGATGAGGAAGRGGCACCGTGCATGAAACTAATACTCTGTTCTGATCACGAATGTGAACGGTGCGTTTGAAGAAGTTCACCGGGTGATCCTCGCTTCGCAGCCATGACATACCCAAGATCATGTCAAATTTGGTGTCCAGAATATCAAAGGACACCACCTCACTTGCGTAAGGGGCAATGTACACGGGGACAGCGTCAATGCACCGGTCGATTGACTTGTGCGTATGACTGTCTGCCAACGTGACTTGCGTAGGCTGGGACTTCCTCCGGACATGTGGGCCAAGGCCGACGCGTACCATCAAGTCTTGGCTGATGTAGTTGCGAGTTGCTCCGCAATCGATCAAGACACTGCAGATCGCCTCTCCGATCTGAATGCGTATGTATAGCAATGGTGCGTCGATGTCGTCGTACCGTTGCGTCATGAACTCGCGGTCGATCTTCGCGATGTAAGCGTGAAGGTCGACAACCTCTGCTCCGGCGTCCATCAACGGAGCTGGTACTGCAGTGTGCAAGTAATCCCGCAGTTGTGCCATGAGCGCATTGCAATGCGGTTTCGGCAATCGTCTGGTCGAGGGGACGGGCATCCACTGGAAGTCCGTGAACGTCAATGGGTCCAGCTCTTCAAGTCTTGACCATGACGTCGAATCCCCGGCGATAGATTGCGGCGAAGGAGCCGAATCGGTTGCCGATGGTGATGAAACCGTGCATGCGATGGATTGTTGCACGTGGAGCGGTTGGTCCAGCGGTGGAACCAAGTGGACAGCATATCCTCGTAAGTGTATCCAGGACTTGCGACATTCGCGTTCTCCCCAGATGTGCAGGAGGCCGCTAGCAAGGCGGCCGAATCTGGCGGAGTAGAAGGTGGAGTCGCCTCACCTTCCGCGGAGCTCATTTTCCCGAGCTGAGGCGGGGTCGCACATCCTCCTTGCCCTGATCCTGGCACAGGGAGGTCTTGTGCTTGGTGCTGTTGCACCAATAGCAGCTACCGTAGCGGCCGCGAACCTTGTACTCTGCCTCGGTCAAGCCAAACTTGACCCATGGAACTTGTACTGGTTGTCCATTTCCTGCCTGCGATGCGGATTTCGCCTTCCCATTGTTGCGGGACTTGTTGTTGCTTCGCGGCTGGACAGCAGCCACCTGATCTCCGTCACTTGATGCTGGAGTGGCTGTTGGGTTATCTCCACTGTCCTGCTAGACTGCAGCGAAGTGCTGCTGTCGCGGACCAGTTCGTACCTTCTCCACACAGGTCGGCTGCCATGTTGATCTCTCGTGTGCAGCTGACCTGTTGGTCTTGATGAGCTCTCTCGCCTTGTTGATGATCTCTGCGAAAGTGTTGTACTGCTCGCGATCACCAAGTGCGAGGCTGAGAGCGGCGCATGACCTGTTGTAGAACTCACGCCGCAGATGCGGAAATGACAAGTCCAAATCGGGCGTCGCCACGATTTTCTGCCAATCCGTGAGCCAGTCACGTGTCGGTGTGCTCCCTTGAGCCATCGTGAAGATGCGGTTGATGGCGAGTGTCGGGGCATCATCGACGATGAACCGCTTCTTCCATTCCTTTGTCATGTCCTCCCAGGAGACCTTCTTGTACAGGTCTGAAACCTGGACGCCGTGGATGGTTGCCATATGGCTGAGCCAGATCTGACAACCTCCCTTGGTGTTGATGAACAGAGCACTGATGAACAGATGGTCAGGGACTTCGTGAATCCCCAACTCCGTTGTAAATCCTTGCCACCAGACGACCGGGTCTTGATGTGTGTAGTCATCAAATTTCTCGATCCGGAACGTCGGCATCTTGTATGGCCTCGCCGAGCTGTTGTTGTGGCTGTGGTC